ACACACACACACACACACACACACACACACACACACACACACACACACACACACACACACACACACACACACACACAAAGACATACCTACAGTTTATCTACACACACACAAATATACTATATTAGCCAGAGTTAACATTTTGATACTTTTGACTTTTATCCACTGTTTTGGGTTTAATTATTGAAATGACTAAGTGGAAATACAGGGTTTCTGCTAAGGACAACAGGTGATTATAACCTAGCCGGTCAACTGCTGGCAGATTAGTTTTGGAACCTTTGGATTAAAGCAGGGCTATTCAGCTGACAGCCTGCTGGTCACATCCGCCCACCAATGAAGCCCCCTGAACAGCCTTCATTATTGATGCACTGCAGGATCAGAGACAGTTCAGACATTCTTTAAGCATAAATAATGTGTGGTGTAAAAGTACATTTATCTGAGTATTTGCATACATGTACATGTACACAGTATATAAAGTAGTTAATTCATGAGATATTAAGCATGAATAAACAATGGGCATGTTGGTTTTGAAAGCAATTAACCTTTAAGCATTAACAAATGTGTTTTATAGCTTGTTAATCATCTTTAACTAATGACGTTTTCAATGTTAACTAAACATTTATTAATGATTAAGGGTAAAAAAGGTGTAGTTATTATAAAGTATTACCAAAAATACTTTGATTTGACAAGAATTAATTACTTGAGGGAAAGAGGGAAGTTAAGTCAGCCATGCTTATTCTTATGTGGGACTGATGTACACAATAAAAACAAGAAAATTCAAAGAAATTTTTCCAGTGTAGTTTTTTTATTTGCTCACAATCTATTTTTATATTTACTTGTCATTTGAAGAAACATATTTTGTTGTTTATGTAAATTTTTATTAAGATCCTCCAAGTCTAATATTCTTGGGTATAGGAACATTTTCTAATGAGAGCCACACAAAGTACAGTAAATACAAAATGGGGACGATGTATTAAGTGTGTTTTGAAAAAAAAATGCAGTTTATAATCTAAAATTTTCATGCGTTTTTTTTACTATAAACAATACAGATATTTACTTTAAACATAAATGTAAAATTAAAGCTATAATATTTGGATAAACCTGTTGAAGATTCAAAGACAATACAGTTACTTCCTACACACAAGATCCAAAAGAGTTTCTCCCACGCAGTCATAAAAAGTATGTTAAAGTGTCAAGAGGTCTCGAGGGTTGAGATTAGCAACCAGACAGACATCGTAGCTGTCGTGCAGGGCTGCTCGTCTCTCCACCACCGTCCACACATTGTCTGTGGGGTCCAGTTCCAAAATCTCCTTAGTAATGATCTCATGACGACCTGCAGCCACATGAGAAAGTGTGTTAGTATTGCCTAATATTCACAGAGTGATTAGTTTGAGTTTTCTCTGATGCAAACATTGCCTCATGGTTGTGCAGCAGGAGGAATCTGGACATGGGCACCTCATTGACACGAGGCTGTAGCAAAAAAGCAAAACTACCTCATAAGTAAAGGTGCAGTGACACTCACCAGCTCTTTTGTAGTATCCACAGAGATAAAGCTTTCCCTCCACCACTCCAGCATTCGAGGCATTGGTTCGAAGGGAAAGTATGGATGTAGGAAGAGTCGGTCCGGCTCTCCAGCTGTCTGAATCTGGGTTGTAAATCTCCACCGAGCTCAGAGAGCAACGTGACTGTCCTCTGTCCTCCCCATCACATCCTATACCACCTGAAAACATGCAGAAAAGTTTTCCGTCCCCACACACAGCCTCTTTTTCGATATTTTATGCTGTGTTCTTGCAGTCTGACCAATTATGTAGATTTCTCCACTGAGGACAGCTGTGCCACATCTGTATCTGGAGTACTTCATCCTGGCACACTCAGTCCATGTGTCTTTGCTGGGGTCAAACTGAAACATGCGATTGCTCAGCTTGTCAGGCTCATCGTCCGGCTGATCCTGAGAATGACGAGGAAACAAAAAAAAAAAGCCTGATTTAGAAAGAAACACAATCACAAAATGTTATCTTTTCTCAAATATCTTCTGAGTTACTGAAAATATTTTAAGAAAACTCCAAGAACRTAATCACTATTGTAGATATACATCTGCAAATGATTACTTTTTGGAGTTGCCCCAATTATAGATGGTTGCTGCAGGAGGCTGATCTTGGGAAACACAGWAATGACAAGTCAGTCAATTTTACAAATATACATTAAAAAAACTGATGTAGTGGACTTAATTTAAAAAATATGTTAACAGGCTCCACTAAACTAAATGCAAAATTACTAAATATAAATGTTTTATTTTTACTCAATTCAGTGGAACCAGCTGACATTTTTTAAAATAAATGCACTAAATCTGTTTTAAAAACACAAATAACTGACGTTAGCAAACATAAAAGCATCCCTAACTCAGTCAGTTTTAGAGACATTGGGCCTCATGCAAGAACCGTTATACGCACAGATTTGTTCTTAAGTTGTGCGTACGAGTGATTTAGGAGAATTTGTGGCATTCACCAATGTTTTCGTATTCTAAGATTTTTTTCAGAAATGAACAAAATTTACGAGTGGTCCAGACCTGTCGTATATTTTACGAGCAGTCAGTCCGCTGTTGTCCAGACTGATTTTCCTCCCTAATAACTTTATATTTCGTTAGTTTGAAGATATTTTGAGTTGAAAATAAATCACA